AGTGGCAAAAAGCAGTGCAGAATCTGAATTAAGGGCACTAGCCCAAGGTATTATGGAAGGGTTGTGGATACGAAGGGTTGCTGAAGAAGCATATTTTGTAGTCAACTCACCACTGAAGTTTTATTGTGATAACAAGGCTGCTCTTAGTATGGCTCTAAATCCTGTCCAGCACAGCAGAACCAAGCATGTTGAGATAGATCGCCATTTTATAAGGGAGAAGGTAGAAGATGGTATTATTAGTCTGTCATATATTCCTACCAGGATGCAAATCGCAGATATTCTTACAAAAGGGCTAGCTGAAGATGTATTTAAGAAGTTTGTCAGCAAGTTGGACATGATGAGCATTTATGATCCAACTTGAGGGGGAGTGTGGTAAATATTATATTATCTGTAAATATCTGTAAATATTAGAATTAGAGGAGGATATCTCGGCTCATATAAGGGAAAACCCCCTAGCATTGCCAATCATCTTCCCTAAGAAGAAATCCTTAAAAACATCATAGTATGGGAAAAATGAGCACTACAATTAGCTTGTTTAGTCAATTTGCTCATGGACAACAAGTTACAAGCCAAACTTGACACGTGAAGAACATAATGTAATTTTATAAGCTCTGTATTGTAATGCTTATATTTCCCTTTTTTTGCTATGGTAGACAATGTACCATTTGCCATTCGGATATTTCCATTGCCAACACATGGAGAATAAGACGTAAACAATCTCAAATCACTCATCATACGATCTGAGGATTCTAAATCAACAATCTAAGAGGTTGGCTTTGGAAGAAACATCAAAAAAATTACCTTTAGCAACTGTTGAAGTTATAGGCTTTTTTCTGCCCCAAATTTTGCAGTTCAATCAACCTTTCAAGAAGTTTCCTAAGTTGATCATGGGTGTTGTCAACTGGACAGTTTGATACCTCTTCTTGTTTCTCTGCACGAGTTTCATTAATAATTGATTTGTCCTTGCTTGGTTTCTAATCTGTAGGTTTACCATGAAGATCTCAACAAGTTTCCTCAGTGTGACCATTCTTTTTACAATGATCACGCAATAGTTTGGACCATTTTCTTTTATGGTTAGACTCAACGAAATGTCTAGCCAAGGTAGAAGTCTCTAGAATCCATAGTACTTCATATTTTATAATCACCTTTCTCTTTGATGTTTCATGTCAAACTTTAGAGGACGAAAACCTCCACATGTCATAGGCAGTCGAGACCGGCTTAAAATTCTGTTGTGGACATCATCAAGATACTTATCCAGTGCTGCAAGGAACTAAAAACATCTCTTTTTCCACTCTTTGCTTAAACTTTGATGTATTAGAGGCACAAAACCTTTCATACAAGTAGACAACTTGTTTGTACCAAAAAAAAAAAAAGTAGACAACTTGTCAAAAGAAACAAAATGACTAATAGGATATAAAGTGCATTATCTTGCCTATTTTCTAAGTGCAATTGGCCAACCAAGATTAGGTTGATTCTTGACCTTCCCTTGAACCCAAAAGATCCCCACTGTTTGTAGTAATTTCCTCTTCCTCGACCTCTCCTAGTTCTGCTTCAAATTCCTCAACTCTAGTGTCCTGTAAGACATCATTAGGCATTGTACTAGGCTCAGATTGTGAAGAGAAAGATTCTAGTTGAGGTTCTAGAGTAGGGTGGTCTCGGCTTCAATTTTAGAGTCAGTTTCACAGTTAGAAAGGCTTACGTCAAGCTCAGGTAAGGTTATAGGGGCAGGTTCAGGTCTGGTAGGTTTGGTTTCTAGTGTGTTTTCAGTTTTTTGAAGTTTAAAAACACCCATTCCCTCACATTCACCCCCTAGATATGTACTAGGCCTAGTCTTCAACAAATTTAACATTTATGGTAACAAAAAACTTTCAAAAAGAAGGAGAATAACACTTGTAGCGTTTTTGGGATGATGAATATCCTAGGAATAAGCATTTGATGGCTCGAGGGTTAAGCTTCCCTCCCTCTTTATGGTAGACAAAGGTTAGGCACCCAAAAGCTTTCAAGGGTAGGTTAGTGGCAAGCAAGGTGTTAAGGTAGGCTTGGGTGAGAAGGTTCATTGGTGTCTTAAAATTAAGGATCTTGGAAGGCATTCTATTGATTAGGTATACCGCTATGAGGATGGCTTCACCCCAATTATTGTTTGGGAACATTATGAGTGGACAAAAGGGCTTAGGTCACCTCTACAATGTGTTTGTTCTTGCGTTCAGCAATTCCACTTTGTTGAGAAGTGTCTACACAGCTAGTTTAATGAATGATGCTGGTTTCCCAAAGGTAGTTTTGAAGGGCTTGACTCGTGTATTCTTGGCCATTGTCACCGTAGAGTGTTAAAATTTGTGTTTGAAATTGTGTTGTAATCATTTTGTGAAAATTGATTAATGTGGACGGAGGCAAATATGGTCATCAATAAAGGTAACAAACCATTTAGTATGAGAAAGAGAAGGTATATGAAAGGGTCCCTAAAATCACTATGAACTAGATGAAAAGGTTTTGAAAAATGATGAGTGTGGTTTATAAGTTGCTCTAGTTTGTTTGGCACATTGACAAATTTTACAAGTGAAGGAAAAATCATTTTTATTCATAAGATGAAGAAACAATTTTGACATGTAACGAAAATTGGATGGCCTAGCCTATAATGCCATAATAATGTCTCTTTATTCTCATAGCTAGTAGATAAAGTTAAAGAAAATTTGATAACATTTTGCATAGGGTTAATGCAATCCATCTTATACTTCCAAACGGTGGAAATCTTCTAGGATCTTACCTATGCCAATTGTCTTTCTTTTCCCCAGATCTTGAAAAACACATTCAGTAGAAGTGAACACCACATTTTTAGCTTTAGGTCATAGTTGTTACAGATGGCAGGCTACATTTTAAACCAAAGGTGTGGAAAACATTATACAAAACTATTTCAAAAGTTATATAAACAATGCCTAGGCCCTCAACTTTCAAGGCTTTACCATCTGCTGCCTTCACAAAAACATTGAAAGGGCATGGCCTTATATCTGTCAACAAATTTGAATTCCCAGTCATATAGTCAGTAGCACCAGAATCCACTATCCACAATCTTTTATGATGCGCATTAGCCTTTCAAGCTAGTATAGTTTTACCCATATGGTGCCTACTCAGCCTTCTTGCCTTCTTTTTTTTTTTTTCCCCTGGAAGTTTGCCATGTAATTTCCAGCAAACTTCTCTTGTATGAACTTTCTTCTTACAATGATCACACCATCTGTTTTGCTTCTTGTTGTCATCTTGAGGTGCTCCTTTGGATGCTAGAGGACTCGCTTGGATTGATTTAGTAGAGCTGGTTATGTCACCATTAGTCAATTTCTTTCGGCTTTCTTCACTGCATACTGCAAAGAAAACTTCTTATAGTGGAGGCAAGTTTTCGAGCCCTATTATTCTGCCCTATACTTCTCCAAAAAAGGGAGGAGGCATCCAATCCAAGAAGAAACTTGAAGATTCGTTTTTCTTCTTTGATTTTTGCATAAAGTACTGCATCTCCAATGCACTTCCAAGCATGTGGCTCATATGAATCAAGTTGCTGCCATTTAACAAACAATTCAATATAATACTAGGTCACTAAAAGATTACCTTTCTCAAAATCATGGAGGAAACATTTGATCTCAAGTATGGCAGCCTTGTATTTGACAGCAGCGAACATATCTCTGGTAACGTCCCACACTTCTCTCACTATTGGGAAGAAGGAAAAATGGGCACTAATTTTAGTGGTTATCGAATTAACCAGCCATGCTTGCACCATGGAATTTTTGGCTTCCCAGGTGGCATATTTTTCATCATTAATTGCTAGTTTCTATGCAGCTCCAATAATGTAGGCATACTTCCCTTTGCTCATGATGAAGAGTCTCACACTAGATGACCATTGGAGATAATTTTCTTCATTTAGGCAATAAATAGTAATGGCAAAATAATGGGTTTCTGGTCGAACTGGTTGTTGCCGCCAAACTACTAGGGTTCTTCAGCAGCATTCTAGGGCTGTTTTGACCTTTGTTGGGTAGGCCCATACTGAATGTCATCACATCACTCTAATACCATGAAGAACTCTTAAGATTCTTAATTGTATTTTATTCGAATAGGAAGAGTGAGATAAATAGATTACAGCAACCCTAATTAGACAAGGGTGATAAGTTGAGATCCTAGTGATACGCCTAGATTCCAGGAAATTCAAAAAGATACAAATTCAAATAATAATAATGACAAAACAGAATAATATTCCTAGATACTAGGTTGCAAATTAGATACTAGATTTCAAACTAATGCTAATTAGGGTTAGGACTTTTTAGGCCCACGGCCAAATTCTTCTTTAGCCGCCAACACTTCTCTTGATATGGGTATCATAGTGTTGACTAGCCATAATGAGACAAGATGATTGTCAGCATCCCGTTGTATTATGGCTGTGACTGCATTTGGCATTTTGCATAGTCAGTGATCAGCCCAAGTTTTCCACATCCTCCAATGGCCCACTTCATTGCTTGAGCTCACTCATGATAATTCTTGCCATTTAGTTTCTTAGTCATGATCAAAACCGAAGAACTTTCTAGTCCAAAAGTCAACCTAGAGGGACCTCGAGATGAGTTCACTGTTGAAGATTCTTCATTGCCACCCATCAATGACAGATGATCGCACAACAATGCACAGACAAATGCAACTGGGCACAGGTGTAGTGAGTGCACATGATAGAGACAAGTGCGACTGAATGTTTCACACATTATGACAGTCTGCCGCTTTGATCCTATGAGCATAATTGCACTTTGAATTGTGTTGTATTATAATTGAGAAGGAAAGAACATATACAGGAGAGGGCCAGAATCAGGTTTGGCCAAATTAAAGATAGGAAATTAAGAAGAATAATAACTAATTAATCCTATATAATTCTATTCCTAGAAATCAGGGATATATACAATAAATAATAATTAGAAATAATCATGCAATCATAACAACATAAATATTATATACAAATATGATATAAAAACTAATATCACCTCCTCAGCAAGATCCTTTTTAGGCATTTTCTTAACAACATCAGGAGGATAACCACTGAAAGTGTTATACCTGCACAGTGGAAAACCAAAAGTACAAAGATCAGCAGAAATAAATATTAGCATAACATAGTTGGCAAATATATATATATATATATATTAGCAGAACATATGGCAGGCGTACCCTGTATCATTAAGAAGAAAATAGGGTAAACAAGGAGATCATTGGCCCATTTAATATGATACTTTGGCAAAAATACGCACGCACAAATTTAACATGGGATAGTTAGAAAATGCACTTGCATTGAGCTTTCAAATTCAAAATTTCACAGGCAAGAAAGCAGAGTAACACCAACAAGCTTATCTCACCTGTCATAAAGATGAACTGGCCTAGATTTCAGGCGACTGCCATTATTTACATATACAGACCAATCCATTCTGTGGGTATGGGTAAAAAGAACTTCCAAGAGATATGAAACACAAGACGCACTTCAACACTAACAGTTGAAAAGTTTCTACAATCATGCAATTACTATCAATAATTCCAAAGCCATGTCATCATACAGCTTCAGTTCCCTTAGATAATTCCATCAAGGCTCTACTAACATTTTTTTTTTCCAACTACTAAAATTTAACTCTTGCAACCACGTCGTATTTCTGCAGACGTTTAGAACTATTTTCAGACAGACTGCCAAATATCACCAACAAATGAAAAATTGCTCAAAGAAAAGACATAGGATGAACCTGTAGGCTAAGACAGCAAAGAAATCACCTCACCTTGTAATAAGCGCGTGCACACAAATTGACACCATTGTAAGAATTAACACTTTTGCATTCTTAATATTTCATTATAGGAAATAATATTCATCAAGCCGACTTTGGATCAGAAATTGTCACTAAACTGATTTTCCACATGAAATTTTATAAAAACCAAAAAGTTATGAGTATGCAATTTTTCTTTAGCTAATACTTTCTTTCAGTTGGAATGTATGTTAGATGTTAAAAAACAAAAACGTTGGATCAATGCCAAATTTTGTGAGGATGAAATGTTATGAGCTTTAAATCTGACGGTGAATTTTCCAACAAAAAAAAAAAAAGTCCAATAAAATGTTATCCAATGGTTTAAGAATAACTTTTATTGACCCAGTACCAATTAATTCCTCTTTTACATATGTGTGATCATGCATATAAGATAGCAAACAATGAAATAAATCTTACCCAGATGCCCTCTCTTGGAACAATCGTGCCTGTTCTTCTCGACTCCCTTCATCAATGGACCACCAACCCAATAACCTGCTTTTCCAAAGTATCAGATGCAGCAACAGTAATGATATGGTTATGGTAATTCAGCATTATCACAACTTCAGGAAAATAGACATTCACATTGGATTTATCATGTTTGATAGTGATAGTGCGAGTTCATTACCTTGAACCATGGTGCAAAAACCCCAAGCAATCATGAGCTCTCGAAGAATATCTAAAATATATTCCTACACCAGCTCCACTACGCAGCAGAAGTATAAGTTTCTCCACTAACTTAGATGCAGCAAACAGTACACCAGCACCTTGCAGTAGAAAAAGTGGAGAGAAGAGAACTAAAAGTGGCATATGTCTAGCACTAGCAGGCGTTCCCTGAAATTTAAAACAAGTAACACATGTCAATATGGTACCTTAATAACTGGCCAAGAACACAAATTAATGGCTCACCTCTAAACGCATACAAAGAAGAATCTGGAATCCAATGACTGGAACCTTCATAAAGTGACCTCCTATGTCTTGTAGGCCACACATTCTCTCCTGATGCTGATTGTCCTCTGAAGAAACTACTAAGCCACTATTCCAGTCAAGATATCTAATCGTACTAGAAGATGAACTGGCTCCTCTTGAGCGAGAATTTCTATGAATGATTGGATTTGACCACTTTGTACATACAAGAAAGGAAAAGCACTCGGCAATACTGCAGCAAGACAGATCAACCAAAACATCATAAAAATTTGCAAAGACTGTCAACCAGATCAAAAGATGGGAATCCTACCCAAAGTTTATAAACAAGTCCCACCAGCCAAGAGCACCTACATCACCTGGATCCGACAAGAATAACAAAAGATGAGTATCTGAAATATAAAATAACTTAATTGTTTAAGAACGAGAGACCAAAAAGTAATATAAGCCACTTAGATGTGTCATAGCAGGTTCTGAAATGGTCAAAATTCATGACACAGGTTCTGTATTTCTCCTAATGACTATGCTTGTATTAACTAACCAAAAAAAAAAAAAAAATCATACTTTGTATTGATGGATCATCCATTGCTTGAATACAAGTCAATATTTTCATTGTACAGTCTGCAGTCAAGGTGGTATTTTTTATGTAAAATTGACCTCAGTTTTCAAGTTTTTCCATATAACAAAATAAATTTGACCATGCTACTCACTGCTGTCAGAAAAAATAAAATAATTTTGCTTAGTTGTTGTCCAGATAAACAGATTTACTAAGTTTGGTTTCAGACCCCAAAAAAAAGATTTACTTAGTTTGGTTCATATATGGGGCATTTAATTGAAAGGAAATCACTTTTGTTTATCATGAAAAGTCCACAAAACTGAAATCCAGTATTGTTATAATTGGGGAGAATAAAAAAGAAATACAGAATGCATAATAATATTCATCAGCTACACTCAAAGATAAGAAATTACCGCACAGTTTTAAGAGTGTGAAGACTGTAGCAGCAACAAAGAAGACCATTGAGATTGCGACCCAAAAGTGCTACAAACATTAAAATATATATATGTAATGAACCTCTAACAGCCATGTGATTCAAAAATAAACACCCAGATTATAATGTTTATAATGTTATTGACCAACATAAACTTTAAAAATATATCCAATAAATAACAATTACAAGAACAAAATGAGAAGCACGAACATGTAAAGATTCATAAGATAATAATCAGTCACAACTGCTGGAAAAAACAATTTATTCTCGGCCAGGCACAAGATGAGCATGCACATTCATATATGATAATCTGATGTCTATAGAGAGGGGCAAAAAGAAAGAGGTATGGAGTAAATGGAAACTACAAGCATGCAGAAAAGCTAGACAACAAGGACATGATCATTTCAACTAAAACTTCCGCTTAGAGCATTATCAAGGTATTCATACATCTCAATTGCGCCAAGTAAAAAGCACTTGAACATACCTACTGACCCAAAAGAAGTAAGGGATAACAAGGTAAGTCAACCCACACCATTGTCTTATCAGTCGCCACTAAAGGTTCAGTTCCAAGAGTTCCCCTCCAATATTTAGAAAATATTTTTCAAAATGTAATGATGCAAGCAAGAAGCCATTTCATGTGATTTAGAAAAGAAAGAAGAATTTGTAAACATAAAAAAATAAAAAATAAAAAAAAATCCTGCCAGACATCTAGTCTATCAACTGTTGTCAATTAACAGTGAAAAAAAAAGTGCAATCAAAATTATATAATTTTATGGGATGCTTAGGGTCGCATCTACCAACTATAGGTGGGCAATTTCTATTAGAAGCATAAACCAATTAGCAATCTTTTACAAGCCAATATCTGCATCTTACTGCCGTTGAACATAATTGATTGTCATATTCAGAAAGAATATTTCCTAAAGTTAATATCATTCCCTAACTGATCAATGCATTATGCAAGAAGTTCCTTCATAGAAGTCAAAGGACAATTATAGTGCATGCACAGCTTTTCCTCCCGAGTAAGATTAAATTATACATTATCATTGGCAACAGGTTCCCAAGCATGAATGCAACAAAATCAACATTCTTTTTATATCTCTGATCTATTTTAATCTGTTAAAGCTATTAGAAAATCTGACTAAGACCATGGATGATGACATGGGAAGTAAGATATATATTAGGAAAAATAAAATGGCCCACATCTAATGCATATTTCTTTTATAATTTGTTAACACAAATCCTTACAGGAAGTGTTTCCCATATTGCCTCATCACTCATGTTATCTTCATCCCCTGGCATTAGAGCCCTACACATTCTGCACAAATAACAAACATGGGTTACAACTAACTGAACAATTGTTAAAAATCAGCCCACATTAATAAATCATGGCGAATCATCATAAAGCTATGAAGAAATGGCATGAGGGTTAAGGCTTTTAAATCACTCATTTGAAGAACTCAAAAATTAAAAACAAAATCAGAAAAAGTTTGTATTCGTCAATACCTCGATAAATTTTGGAAGAAAAATGTATATCTTGTTCATCTAAATGGTAAGATACATCCAACGTTATACGCCAAGGGAAGGACAAGAGAGTAAAGACTAATACATGCTCATAAAACTATAAAATCAGAAAATATTTACATTAAAGGATATTCCTCCAAACCTAAAGCATGTAATAATGCACTCAAAGGTGTGATCAATTATTGGTAACTACACAAAGCAGAGAAGGAATTCTAGCAGCTGCTGAGAAGCGTAGGCAGACAATTTACACAGGCATGGATGCCATTATGCAATGTAATTTGTTGGGTGTGCATCTTGTTCAGCATGAGCATCTAGCACATCTAGGACATGGATATCAAGCCTATTCTTTACGTGCCCCCACATCATACAACTGCAATGGAGATACAGCTGCACAATTTCTAAAACAAGTATGTCTGGGATAAGGACATAGATCCTCTCAAGTTTCCATAATTCATACAACTGAATGTAACATATCATTTCATATTAAACATTGCTGTCCAAACAACAAGAAACATCCCCACTCTCTCTTTTTTCCACAAAAATAAAAAGAAAACTAGAAGTCATTAATTAATGATTGAGGAAATTATTAAGAATTTTACCTGAAATTGTCAATTAGAATAATGATTTCAAATGTTAGTAAGGGAAGGAACACGATCTTAAGATTGACAGCTGCAAAACCATGAACTGCATAAAAGAGAATGCATTAATTTAGAGTGATAAAATGTTGCATAAAAATCATCCCAGGCATTCAACTCTGTTAGCACAACAAAATTACTTTACGTCAAGACACTAAGACATGGTATTATGCCGACTGTTCAACAGGAGGAATTCTTGAACATCAGTCTAATTATATGAATATGGATTACCAACTCAATATTTCTTTTAAGGTTATGGTGGAAATTTGTCTCGTAGTAAGTTTATACTCAGAAGAGCTAGGCACCCCGAAGTTTTTTTGGTACAAATTTGCCCTAAAAGTTTAAAATTGTAACAATTTTGCCCCTTACTATTAAAAAACTAACATTGACCATTAAAATAGTAACACTGACTGTTAACATTTTTAATTATGAGGGCAAAATTGCTAGATTTTAAACTTTTGGAACAAATTTGCACCCGAAAAAAACTTCTGGGCCCTCCAACACTCCTGAGTGAAAACTTATAAAAACAAATTTGCAACTTAATATTTGCTTTTAAAACACTTTGCACAGAAAACTAACTAAATGCACGAAAATTGATCAAATCTACAATCATGTAAAACCGAGGCATGGATAGGTGGTGTACCATATAAGCTCTCAAGATATATACAGAGGAGCAACTCGAATGCAATAAGCAATGGTATTGCAACAACGGCATGGCATGGTGCCCACTGTCACAAAACAGCAAATCAGAATTTTATATACTAATCTTAATAATGGAAAGAAAAAGACCTTCCATTGGATAATTATTAGATAGATAGGGAAGAGCTGACATCCCCATTTTGAAAAGATAAAAGGTAGCAAATTACAATATTAGACTTCATAATAAAGCCACATTGCCCAATATCCATAGATAAGAAAAGGGAAAAAACTGGTTTATGAGTTTGAACTTGTAATAAAGATAACAATTACTTACATGTCGATTACGTGGAACTGATGGCGCAGGTAATGAGAACCTTCCTCTGGCCACAACAGCATGAAACATCCATAGCGGAAAAAATATTATCCTGCATATTAAGTTGAATTGAGTGCCTAATAATCATTGTCTTCTTAGAATCCAATATATATTGCCTTCTTTCCTTAGTATGTAAAAGTTTCTATGCTTTGAGTCATTAACAGAACTTCCATAGAAAACTATAAAACTCCCATGATTTCACAGTTTTTCCATTCTTCCGTTGCACAGACCATGATTTTAACAAATTTAACTCCAATAATTCGTAGTAATGTTCTAGATCATCCCTACACTAACTTGTTTCTAAAACTATGGACTAGGTTTATAAATGATTTCAAAAGTAGGGTTCTGATTATTTTATTGAATCCTGCAGTCAATTCAAATATTATTGACTGTTTGAGGCACAAAATATTCACTTAACCCCAAAGGTGGGACCAACTATGAAAATGCCACAAGATCATTTTGTCAGCTTTGCAATAAGCAGAGATGCTTTCAATTCCAGTTGAAGCAAAAGCTTACACATTCTTTGGTTATCTTAATCTAAAAATTACTGTACCTTTATGATTAAAAAAATAAAAGAAAAAAAAAATTCATATGGCTCATCAGGCTCCAATTCTTCTTCTTTTAAATGAATCATTAACCGATTGTATGTTTTGGTAATGTATAATCTTCCACACCCATCTTCATATCTTTGAGTCATACGTCTTCCCCCAGCCTCCCATCATATCAACAAGAAAAGAAAATCAAGCAAAGGGGGTAAAAGGAATAACACCGCAGTTGCAGACAGGGGGGAAAATAATACAGCCCAAACTAAGCGTTTTATATCGAATCTGAGAAAAAGTAAAATCTTCACCTCGAATGAAATTTTTTCATGCCAAAAACCATACACGACACCACGATAGTTAATTCTCAGCCACACAAATTATTTTGGGGAGGAGAAGAAAAATGGAAATTAATACTAACAACAGTTCTCCACCCACAAAACTTGGGAATAAGGTTGCTATGATTACCGTACAGCACTTGTTTACTCTTGTAACAATTTGATACGGTGTATTTCTCTTATGGAGATAGGCATCACAGACCTTCACCATAGACATTCTAGATTTGCTCCATAAGTGTATTCAGAACCAATACACTTTGTCATTCATTTACAGCTTACCATTTTATGTTGTGGCAGAAATACAAAAAGAGGGAACTTAGGAATATGCCTTGCCAGCTTTTAAAATACAGTTGTGTAGCAATCAGAACGACGCAAGTTTACCCCCACGCTCAGGCAATGATTAACAAACTTATGTTTATGGGGTTATTCATGAATTTGGATGCTCTAAGGTACTTCATATGATAACAAAAGAGAAAATTCAAATATGCGGGCCCACTTGAGAATGCTCCACCTCGGCTATCTTAAATTTTAGGGTTAAATTACATTCAATATCCTAAAGTATTTTTCTAGTAGTACTCAATATTCTAAAATAATTTTTGGTGCACCCGGACACTATTTTCTAGTAGCACTTAGTGTCCTAAGGTTTGAGGTGCTCATTGTTATTGAGGACAAAATTGCACCGAAATTTCATAGGATACTACATGTAACTAGAAAAATACTTGATGGCATTGAATGCTCCAAAAACTATTTTAACATAGAGTGCTATTGAAAAAATATCCTGGATGCAACTTAACCCTAAATTTTACGGTTTAAATTTCCTTCAAAACTTTAGAAGGTCGAAGGTACAAATCCAGTAATAACACGCAAGAGAGGCGAAGACACTAAATCCCGATTCTACTAATCAATAATACTTCTCTCAGACACAATACTAACACGCGAGGAACTCATTCAGAACAATCATGAACACGTCGTCATCTCTGATTTTTTTTTTTTTTGGGGAAAACAAGAGATTTATCTCATTAAATCGACTGTTCAAGATTTATCCCACGGCCCGGTTGACGCCTTCATGAAATAATCAAAAGTCCCGGAGTACACTGATAATCGAAGTTCATACTAATTCGAGCAAAAGGAAACCTCTTATACAAATTACAGAATGGAAAAGGGAAAAATAATCTAAATAATCCAGGCTGCGTGCTGAACTCAATCACAAAGTAGATATTCACTTGATAAGATTAGAGCAAGAACTGACCACCAAGAGCAGGAGACAACATGATCAAGCTTGAAGACGAGGAGAAGAGTGAAGCAGAAAGGAAGGGTATGGGCAGCGAGCGCCTGCACAGACTTCAATACTCTCCGCCAGCTCATATTTTCCCTCATGCCTTTATTTCAACAATCAAGCGCAGACAAATCCCAGAAAAATATGAGAGAAATAAGAACGGAACTCCTGAATCGTGCCTACACAGCTTAAGAATATTTTACGTCACGAGACGAAAAACGAAAGCCGCAGAATCAAAAGGCGCCATTTGAAAGAGCACAGATAGCGCAATAACCTCTTTCATTAATATATATAAAACCAAAAAGCAGAATCTGCGCCTTCTCTCTCTTACGGTTTGATGTTTTTTCCCCCAAACCTCTCTTGCAGTTCTCTTTTCTTTCCTTTTTTTTTTCTTATTTAAGAAAAATAATTCCTAAATTTCCTTTTTTTTTCTTATTTAAGAAAAATAATTCCTAAATTTCAAAATCCTCAAATGGTTACTTAAATAAGTAAAATTTCAATTTAGATATAAATGATCAAAATTGCGTTTTGTAAATTTATTAAAATGACTATATTATCCTTTGTTTAAAAAAAAATCAAATACCCTTACTGACCAGCAAATCGCCAGGGCTCCGGTGCGATGGAGTTCAAATAGGTCACCGTCAACTTCAACGGCCAATAACTTTTTTTGAAATTTTTACAATTTTAGTAACGCAGTTAACAAGTTCTTTAAAGCTATTAATGAGTTTGGTATAGCAATTAACAGCAAGTTTTTCAAAAAATTCAAAAAGTGACATTTTTACAACTTCAATAATATAGTTAACAAGTTCTGTAATGCTATTAATAAATTCAATATAATAGTTTACAACAGATTTTTTCAAGAAATTTCAAACAGTAACATTTTTGCAACTTTAGCAACTTAATTAATAAGTCATGTAACGATATTAACAACTCTCGTAGTGCCATTAGCAAAATTTCTCAATGAGGGTTTATGTTTTTAATATTAGCTCCATGTGAAGGTTGTAAATCAAATTTTTTTTTCATTTATCAGGCAGTTACTATGGTTATGAAAGTTATTAATATCATTACATAACTTGTTATTAGGGTTATTAATGGTATTATGAGTGTTGTTAATATCGTTACATGATTTACTAACCGAGTTACTGATGTAACATCCTAGGTTTTTAATCTTGAGGTTTAGAGATTGCTAAGCTTGGATTCGGATAGTTAAACTGGTTAATCTTTTGGTCTTGAGGTTAAGGCATAGAAATATAAATGATGATAATTGAGAGCAATATCTCTATACCTTTTTTAGTATTCTTGGAAATTAGGCATTTTCAAAGGTTAAATGATCTTGTTTTTGATTAACTCTTTCTGTATTGGAAACTAGACGCATCAAATTTTCTAAAGAGGCTTAATTTGTAATTTTTAGAGATTCATGGAGTTAATTATGAATTTTCAAAGCCAAACTTTTTTTTTATTTGTGTCTTTCGCTAGATGTTTGCTATAACAAATAACACAGTATATTGATTGTGTCGTTTGCTAGATGTTTACTAAATATTTGCTATAGCAAACAACATGGAGTATTTACTATGTTGTTCGCTAGATGTTGGCTAAACGTTCGCTATAGCAACCACGTCAAAATCTGATTTTATAAACCAATTTCAGATGTGATTTTTAGGAGGTTTTGGGAGGAGAACTCATGGGGCTCTACTACGGTTTGGTATTTTCAGTCTACGGGAGTATATTTGAGCTTCCAAACATCAAAATAAATATTTCTAACCTCATTTCTACCATTTCCTATTAGATTTCTGAAATTTGAGATAGTGGAAATCAATGGTTTATGATGAGTTTTGACTGGGCTAAGGTTTTCACCAAATCTTTTAAGTTTAAATGACTTAATATGAACCAAATTAAGAGTTTAATCAGTTTAGTTTTGCTAGATATGAAGTTATATGAAATTTTGAGCTAGTGTTTGATTTTTGAGTTAGATTTTGTTAAGTTACGATAATGTAGTGGTTTGAATTGAGGTTTAATGGTTGGGATATGCTACTGCGAGTTATAATTGATATTTAATTAGTTTATATTGTTAATAGAACTTAGAATTCTCAAATGGGTACTTTGAGACTTAAAACCTAAGTGTGAAATTGGGGATTTTGCTCGAATTGAGTAATTTGACGTTAATGAATGATTTAGATGAGTCAATTAAGCTATTAGGATTCTAAGTGTAGTGTTGGAATGGTTGGATTATAATTATGGCAAGAGTTGGACTCTAGAAGAACTTTGAGTCTTCATGCTTAAGGTGAACCATTCTATTGATTGTGAATTAATATGGTTACTTGCAATTGTTGTAGATTGATTATAAATTACTCCCTCTGTTTCTTATTATAAGAGACGAATAACCGAATTACGTTGATAAAAAAAGCAGTTAAAATTAGTTAAGAACAATCAATGTGTAAAAAGTATAATTTTTTTTCTAAAAATACCCTCATTAATAAGGAGAGAGAACATGAGAGAGAATAATGGTAAATTATTAAAAGAAAGAGAAGTGGGAAGGAGAGAGAGTGTGAGTTGGAAACAATAAATATGGGTAAAATAGGAAATCAACACAAAAAAGTAAAGACAACTTTTAAGTGTCTCTTATATATAGGAACATGCCATAAGCATCAAATGTCTCTTATAATAAGGAACGGAGGGAGTATTAGTTTGAGCATAAGGCTTAATTTGATTGTGGTATTATATAGTTTTGGTAAAAAATAACCACTTTCCACTTGTTATGCATGTTTGCATGATGTTATGAGTGATTTTGGATTACATTTAATTTGTCAAAATGCCATTGGGCTATTATTTGAGCCATGAGATATATTATTATTGAAATTGCCTTGAACTACTTTATGCTATTAAAATAAACCTATGAAACTATGATTTCGCAAAATTGTCTTGTGGGACATGATTTTTTTGAGAAATAGATTTGTGGATTAATGTTGATGAATGAAATTGGAATTGTTGATTTTGGCAACAAAAAAAAAGAGAGTAAAAAGTGATTATATTGTTAATGAATAATTACTCTATAAATATATTGAGTAATAATAAGAGGGGATGGTGAATGTTGTTTTTATGAGAGGTATATTAAAGAGGAAATAAGGGGGTGAAATATTGTATACAAAAGAGAAAATAAGGTGGTGGACTTCGAGATGTATACTGGTTGATCCTTTGGCCATTTTCATGTGTTCTAGGGTATATGAGTCATGGTCCAGCCTTGTGATCTATGGATTTTGGCCTATTCACATCATTTGATTGATGAGCTTGTTGTGTTGAGCTACCAATCACATGAATGAGTATTAGCCCATGGGTTCAGTCAAAGAAAATAAAGTGGAATTGAGATTAAAATAGTATACTTTGATATATGTGTAAACTATGTGACAACTGTGAATGTTATGATTTTTATAATTGTCCACTTGACATCTCCCAAGCACTTACATGTATGCCTAATAAGTAGGATTGTTGGTTATTGAGACTATTATATGACTTCGTGGTTTAACATTTTAGGTGACAGCTCTAAGGCTGGTATGTTAGGGAAGACGCTGGAGGCTTAGCTATTAAATTAATCTTGTATAGTCTTCTTTTATTATGCCACAGGTATTTGTATATTACCACATAGGATTCATTTTGCATACTCTGATTTATTTGAGACTGTTTGTATTAACTATATACTTTTGATAAACTGTTACTGGATTACATGCTGGTAGAAGGCCAGAGGCCTTTAGGTGCTCGCATGTGTTTGTAAACTATGGATTCACATGTCTTTTGAAAACATTGAAGTACTGTTGGTTTGAAAAGTTATAAAAAATATTATTCAAAAAATATCTTACTATTGGCTTGCAGTTAAATGTGACATGTTGGGCTTTGTAATGCTCAAGGCCTAGTTATTGTTAAGCATTGTTTCTCTTGGTTTACATGTGACTATTGTAATAAAACTCTAATATCTATAATAGCTTTTAAATGTTTTATTTTGATTCTTTTTTATCATGGATAAGTATTTAAAGATGAGTTTATTTCTTTTAACCATCATATGTACTTTCAAAAATTAGTTTATCTCTTTTCTATCATGGTTAACATTTCTTGTGATTCAAGCTTCTTTTATAACCATAGTAGCATTTCCAAATGTTATACTAAGTTTTTTTTATTACTATAGTTAGTATTATTAAATGGTGATTTAAAATGGTTAGTAACTGATCCAGAAGAAATGTTGTTATATTAAAATTATAAAAATGTCACTTTTTGAATTTTCAAAAAAATTTATTGTTAACTATTATATCAAATTTGTTAATTGTATTAGAGAATTTGTTCCGATGATGATAGCCCCCCCGAACTTCGGCTACCGTACAACCGGTGGGGGTGCTTGGTATTTTTGAAAAGAAGAATAAAGTGCAATATAATCATTTCAAGAAATTTGCAAATTCTAATTTGGTCACTTATACCTAAACTGAAATTTTACTTATTTAAATAACCATTTAGGGATTTTAAAATTCAGGAATCATTTTATTTTCCTTTTTTTTTTGTCATCGCTAGCTTTCACAGCAGAAAGAGAACCATGTTTAACAAAATAAAAAATAAATAGTTGGCCCATGGGTCATGTTGGTAAATAATCTGGAAATATTTCTAAATGTTGTTTAAATCTGGAGGCATGTCATAATTATGATAAGTTTTTAGAACTTAACTTATCTAAACTTTTATGTATAAAAAGATAAAGAAGAAAATTCTAACATGTTTTGACCATAGTAATTTTTTTTTTTTTGCGCCAAATATGAACAGATATATTTAATAAAAAGTGTGCTGCGTTTTGTTTCTTGGCCAATAGTATGCTATGTTTTTTAAAGTTTTCAATAAAATATCTACTTGCAGAAATTTTTTAATTTCATACTTACCTCCAGCCCTTAATATAAAATCTTGTTTGACTTTTATTTTGGTTCTAGATATAAGACCTCAATCCATTTTGTATATCATATTTATCCATTTTTTCCAAGATAATCCTTCTAATATGATAGTTTTAATTAATACATTTAATTAATAAAGATATTTTAGGATGGATAATACATATTTATTATAAATAACTAACTTAACTTATTTTTTAATCTACTCAAATTAGTTAACTAGCTCTTATATTTAGTACCGGAGGTAGTATATTAAGACAAACAAAAATTATTTTAACCAACAATTTATTTAGGGAAAATTGTAAATAAAAACCCTCTAATATGTAAAATTG